TCAACTCTTTCAACTTAGATGCTGAAATACGATATGTAGCCATCGATACCAGACTAGTTCCAAGAACTAAGTCGATAGTAAACTCCACTTCACACTCTGGCGGTAAATCACTTATATCATCAGGGAACACTTTAGGAAAATCACGAATGATTGGCAAATCACCCATCTCCCTCTTCTAACAAATATCCAATGTTGCCATCAAAGCCAACAACACATCATCATCCTTCACATACTCATTCACTTTACATACTATCAAGCTGGCAAGACAATTCTATCCCATCCAGTATGATCCCGTCTACTATCAACCATAGATTAAGGGTGATCAGTTCTTCAATTTGTCAATAGGTAGCCGATAACCATAATGGAGCATAAACTATCGTTACCAAACTATAATAGCATCCTTTATCTCATGCTCAAAGTTATATAAGCACCATGGTTCAAATCTTCACACCATAAACATCTTAGGGAAGCAAAGCTTCTCTCCCACTTATTTTAAACCCACTCCTACAAACAAGTGGTCAGAAAACAAGAAAGTACCAACAATGTTTCAAACACATGTCGTGTACTAAGGGAATAAACACATTAGTAACCTGACCAATTTGACCGACCATTACTCTGATACCACTAATGTAACACCCTCTAACCCCAAAGACATAAATGGCATAATCAGATTAAATTAGCATACATCTTAAAGAGGGCGTCACAATTGACTTCACAAAATGATAAAGAAATCAAGCATGCGTACTGTTCATGATTATAACACGTATTCAAGTTCATGTTTCATACACCAATACAAAATTATACATCTCGCAACAGAATAATTATCTCAACATAAAGATATAAATAATTGAAATTCCATACTGACAATCATATCATAAGTATTAGGCACTAAGGCCAAATATTACATAATCTCATACATATCTAAATAAAAGAGAGTACTAACAAATATCTCTCAAAACAAATCAAAACATGAGTTCGAATATCCACCGTGTTAAATAGACCAGAGCAATGACTCACTACCTAGAAATAAGCAGATAAATAAGGATCTACCTCCTCCTTTAATCCTGGAAAGAAGCATCACTATCTTCGGTACCTGAGCGATATCATGCAAAACATCATTCCAATAGAAGGGTGAGAATTCATATCATTCTAAAAATATATAATCATAAACAATGTTAAACATACATACAACGATAGAATTCACCACACTTCACATAGTCATGCATTTGTCATAAACATAAATCATCATACATGTTCTCATATACAACATAACTCATTCATTCATGTTTCAAATGTAATTAATCGACATTATCACAAGTATATCAATCAATTCAATCATCACACATTTCGCACCTACCACAACATTAACACTGACATCACATAATGCACAATAAATCATAATTCACATCGACACATGTGACTCCAATGCAACTCAAATGCATTACCCATGTGGTACCAAATGTTATCCTTACCGGTCCTGCCAGGTCCATATCTCCAAGACAGATAACCACCAATAAAAGTCTGATTCAACCTTAAGCTTTCAAACCCCATTCAGCGTTAGGTTTGAGACAAGTCAATAGCTCCCACAAACTTATCAAACCTTGTCTCTTGACACAAATGATACATGTACATGTGCAATCTCAATAACTCATCACATAATTTAACACATTTTGAATTATCTTCACAATATTGCATAACATGTATCTTTCATGCCAATCAATCACATATACACAATCTCATAGTATAAATCATCTTAACACATCAGTATAACATGTAGCAATTAGATACAAATCATGCTATATTCAAACATCATCAAATTCCAAACTTACATACACAAGGATCAAAGCAACCAACCAAAGATCAATCTCCCCATGAATGCATGTGCAATTTCTAATAAACATATGCAATTAAGACCATCTCACAATCTTAATCATCCAAGCATATCACAATAATTTAACATATTGAATTATCCATCAACAATTGTACAAAACATACATTTATCATGTTGTCATATAAACATCATCAACAATACTTTTGCATAGTATTAACCATCATCACAAATCACAAACAACATATAGCATATAAGCCAACCAATGTTATTTTCAACAATTACCAAATACAACATACATTATACTAAAATCAAGTATTATGTATTCATCAAAACTCATTCAAAATTAATCCAAAACACATCGAATAAATTATTAAAATTCATGTATATTCATGATAAATCATAGCATACAAGATATCAATTCTATTCATGCATAATATAATTTTTCAACTTGCAGTAGACTGCGCTACGCGCCATAGGCCGCGCTAAGCGCCCTATGCAAAACCAGAAAAATTGATGCGGAGAAAATTCTGTCCAAGCTCGAATTTCACTATCAATTCATGTTCTAATGCTCATTTTTCACCAAATAAACATATTCTAGCATGTATATATCATAAGGAACCTATTTGTATCATAAAAATTAGATTTCCAAAACCTAATTTCCAAATCCCTAAATCAAATTGGGTGATTCAAAACCTAAAAATTTACATACCCAATCCTATTACATGTTACTACTATCCATCATATAATCTCATAATAACATAGATTCTCACCCTTACCTTGAGTGTAGAGTCTTTAGAGTTGTCTATTAATTTTTCCTCTTTTCTCCTCTTTCTCCTCTTCTCTTCTCTTCTCTTCTTTGTTTTTGTTTTATGACAACACTAAGTCTAATCTCTCTTCTTACTACTCTATTTCATTAATCGGCCTAATTTCACTTACCCATTCTATTATGACATAAAGCTCAATTCCAATTATTTACTATTCTTACTTATAACTCCAATTTTTCAATTAACACATATATTCAAATAATTTAAATATTCACCAAACCACACAATTAAATCAGTTACTATATAATATAATAATTAATAAAATAATTAAATAATAGAAAATAAAAATCAGGGTGTTCTACCCTCCCTCATGCTGATGCATTGTCCCTCTTTCGTATATCTTGGGGCGATTAGTTGAGATTTCTCTCCTAAAAATAATGAATTGTCTCTTCATTTAAAATCAACCAACACACAATTTTGTTCTTTTTTAGAAGAACTACGAGTGTCTTGGTCCCTTATTGCATGAAGATGATACGTAGGCACAAAGGTTCGCAACCATGGAGAGCGCAATAATAAGAAACATTTCTTTTGTTTGTAAATATTCATTCATTCATTCTCTTTAGCAAGTTTAATCTTTAGATAACACACTCTTTGATTAGAAACAAGCAAAATGGATTCTATGGAGTACCGTAAATGCTTAGGGTGCTAATACCTTCTCTTTGCATAACCGACCTCCATACCTTTGATCTCTACTTCTTTTGTGGATTTTATTCGCTCTTTTCCCATTTTTCTTTGGAAATAATAAAATATAATGATGACTTTCACTGTGTGAGTTAAGTCAATTAATGATTCAGTCTCAAATTTTTACCTCTACATTTCACTACGTACGATAGTACTAACCACTTCTAACTTCTAACGTCTATTAAAATAGCACAAACATATCCTCTAATTTTTAATAACAGTAAAAAATTGCAACTATATAAGACGCTTACCTATGATTTTTTATCTATCATTCAATATTTCTGTAGATATATTTAAATTTAAAAAGGTTAGTACATATTTAAAAACTAAAAAGAAATATCGATGTCATTTTAACAATATATAAAGGTGATATGTGGTGAGTGTAATTTTCCTTAATTTTATTGCATAATATGTGGTGATCTTCAACTAAAAACTTACCATAAACTTGAAACCTTAAGACTCTCATTAGAGAAAAACAAGACATTAGTTTTGGAAATGGAATGGATGACTAAGTGCCAAGTATGGATCAATGGGCATAGCATAAGAAAATTCTAGATGGCTTATGCAAAAGGTCATTATAATTCTTATAGATATTCTTAAACATTCAAGCCTACAAAGTATCAACTTTGTTAATATAGTCTTTTCAGTACAACAACATCTTTACATTTAGCATAGGTCAGTGACCTTTAGTCTATCATAGAAAAGTGAGATTTTTAATTATTAATATATTATTATTTAATTTTAACAGCTATGATGAAACCTATTAATAATTTATTATCGAGTTTTAATTCTTAATTATATAATATTTTTATATTAAATAATATATTTTTAATTAATCTGAATAATTATTTCTTAGTCATCATCTTCTTCTTTAAGTTTTTATCTTCTTCATCTTTTAAATTTAGATTTCAAAAATTAAAAAGAAGAAGAAAAAAATCTAAATTAGAAAAAACTGCAAACCTAATAAGTCAAATTCAGATTTAAAAAAAAGAATCAATCTAAAAAATTTATTCATCCTCATCTCCATCCATTGAAGAACACAATAAATATCTTTTAAAAAAACAAACCAGTTAACTTTAACAAATCTGAGAAAAAATTACATGAACTTTAAATTGAAGGTTCTAACCAAAAAATTCTATTTTCATATCTACATAGACTACATTTATTGTTTAAATCTAAAAAATGAATGTGGGATGGAAAACTTGGTATAGATCTAGAATAACGAGTTTTCAATAGTGAAAAAATCTGGAAAAAAAACACATATGCAAGAGCAAAAATTATTATTTTAATAATTTATAGTAGAGAAGATAATAATGATGAATAGTGAAAAAATCTAGAAATACCTATCAACATAAATGAATATTATTATTTTAATAATTAATAATATTAATAAAAAATCTAAAAATTATTTATAATAACCTGTTTTAACGGCAATAGAAAGTTAAAAGTGAGTGATTGGAAACTACTCATAGTCATGTTCCAATGAGTAAATATTCAATTAATTAACTTTCCAACCCAACACACATTTTCCACACTTGATTTTTAAATACAACACAACGATTTTATTCAAATACCAAACCATGGTCTACATTTATAAATTCCAAAAACCATATTGAAAACACACAAACTGATTTTAAAATAGCAAAATGCAAACAGAGTCCAAATTAAGCATGCTTGGCTATTTTCAATTGAAGTTTATTCTTGTTACCACCCACAAGTTTGTCCACTTGCTCCCCTTTTTTCAAGAACAGGAATGTTGGCATAGCTTTAATTTCACACTCCTGAGTAACAGTCTGAAAAAATCCATGTAATTATTAATTAAAAACAATACTATTATTTTCATGTGGTAACTTTTTAGTAGTTATTGCATACCTTCAATTCATCCACGTCAACCTTAAGGAAGGTCACATTTAGAAACTCTTTAGCATACTCTTCAAAAACTGGGCTAATTAAACGGCATGGGCCACACCAAGTAGCAGTCAAATCAACAACAATCTGTCAAAGCCAATATTTTCTTTTAGTATTTTAAATCTAAGAAGCACGGATATCTCAAACACAACATTGACAGAGACACAAAACATAAATTATTTTAAAAAATAAATAAATAAAATATAATTATATATGTTGATATTGTGTTTAACATCGACACAGACTTAAATACTTTTTTTTTTTTAATGTTGGTGCTAGCGATGAAAAATAAAAATAAAAGAGAAAGTGTGAGTGTAATAACAAAATTAACCAGTTTATTGGAAGTATTTCCCTTCTCCATATGTTTCCTCCAATCCTCCACGCTGTGGATACTGATCACTTCTCCCTCTTCTGCCATTTTTCTCTTTCTTTTTTTTTTTGTCGAAATTATGCGTTTGACTTCAAATACTATTTTCGCTTTGATTGCTATGATCTTAAATACATGCTCTATACAAGTTATATATTGTAATATTTCCAATTAAAAATTGATGAAAATACTTAAATGTGTTGTTACATTAACATTGACTATGCCTGTACTCATCATGACCCGCACGTCAAGTGTAAACATAAAGTCACGACCCCAATTTTTTATTATATTTTAATATTATATGTTAAATACAATATTCGGTCCTGCCTTAGGTGGCAAATCCTAAAAAATAAAAAATACAAATTTTATCTTTACCCATTAAAAATTTATTTATTTTCTTAAATCAAAATCAAATTTTAATATTTATAAATTATTTATTGTTGTTCGGCTCCATTATCTTGTACAAATTAATTGTAGCAATTCGGAATTAATTTGTCAAATCAATTGTTAGAACATTGCGTTTGTTCTATGAAAAATAAAATTTTATGTTGTTTTTGAGCCAAACAAATGATCAACCTACTTATACATAATTATCACTATTAATCATCTTAAATCTGTATAAGTGCACTTTAAGACATTAAACACTAAATTGAAACAGTCTAGAGCTTCTAAAAGTAAAAAAATTTCAGAATGTCAATAATTTATAATTAATTTATAATTAGTTATGTGCTCAACAAAGATGTGCTACCTAATACAAAGGGCTTGTCTCAGGTAACACAATTTGTATCTTGCAACACAGCTTGCTCATGTTGTTATCTAGTGTTTTGCATGAGCGTTGCTTCTTGGGTCAACACGGCCCGTGTCAGATGACACGGCTTAATTGTGTTAGCCATGGGTTTTTAGTACTAGGAGACTTCCTTTCCGCACGATTTTTAATCTTTTCTGCTTTAATATGGTATGATACTCCCTTATTACTTAAAAACAATAAAAACACACCAAAGCGCATAAATGGAAATAAAACGGGAAAAATACACAACAAAATAGAAAGAAAGCGAGATAAATTCTAAATGTTACTTGTCTTCAAACAACTTGTTCGCAGTGAAAATATCATGTAAAAACTTAAGAAAATAAAAATGTTGATACTCATACGTAAACCTTTGATCAGATCAATCTAAGTGTCAATTCCTCATTTACTAGTATGAATCATAAGATATTATAAGAACACAATTTGCATAAAATACAACTAAAGCTTCCTTCCTTTGATATTAACTTAACTATAGCTTTGTACTCAAGTCTTATCACTTGATTTTCTCCCTCTTTCATTCAAAATAGTTGGATTAAGACAATGGAGTATAGAGAGTCATTGGACACGTATAAAGTCAGTTGAGCATTTTTTTATATTGAAATAATTAAAATATACAAGCGAATTAGCGTTTGACAATGAATATTTTTGATACGGTTCAAAAATACATAGAAATATTGTGGTAATATAAAAAATGTCGAACCGACATAGACCAATAATCAAACGCATCGTTATTTATTACTACTTTGTAAATCTAAGATTATGAATAATAGTTTTGAATACAAAAGAACTAAATTAAACTAGTTTAGGGAATTAATATGAAGACGTAGACCGGAATGTGATTTCTGAGTACTATTGAAACTCGTATAAAATTCAGCATCTAAATTTAGTTTTAAAATATTTTTTAATATAAATATTAATTTAAAAATACTGTTCACTTTTGCACAATCAGTACTAAATATCTTTTTGAAAATTAATAATTTCTAATTAATTAATAAAGTTTTGTCACTATTTTTGTGAATTAAAAATCTAGATTTTAATAATCGAATATTATTTTCACACTTTTGCGCTGAAATCAATATCATTGTATTTTCACTTTTGCAGTAAAATTTTTGCTTTAAAAAAATTCAGAACCCATCAATTATTTTAATATTGAAAATCCAATCCTTTTAATTTTACCGAGTTCCATCGTTACAATCATCCTCACATTCCAGACTTTGAGTTTAGCCGGACATAACAATTTCGAAACAGAAATAGTAAATGAACTTTAAATCTAACATTTTACACATACCAGTTATATTACAATAATAATAGGGCACATGTAAATGTGACTAACTTAAAAATAACAGTAAAGTAAGAAAACAAAATATTATGCACCGAATAGAATAGATCTCCAAAACAAACATTAACAATAAGAAAGAAAAATAACTCAAATATATATGTGAACTAAGTTAAAAATACGTTACTTTTCTGAGTTATCAAACTCCTCTATACTTGAATCTTTATTTGTCCTTAAACAAATAAGCTAACATATTAATCAGCAAAGTGTAGTAGCAAAACACAACAAGACTTAAAAGTATTAGTGCGTGAGACACTTTAGTGAGGAGAGAAAGAGAAAATAATAAAGGAAATAAGGATTTATATACAATCTGTTGTACCCCAAAATTTGTCCTCTTATTTTTCATGCAAGATACTATCCTAGGGTTTCTCGAATACTCAATTTGGCTCAAAAGTTGATCAGAGACATTCTCTTCCTAGGTAGTAAGTCAACAATTAAGGTTTGTTATTTCCCAAAGAAAACTGAGTCTCCAAGGTTTCAAATGGTCTTCATAGATCTTCATGTCTCCTCAAGGGTGTTCGTGCCAAGTTTCAAACCTCGCATTGCAAGTTTGCTCAGTCAAGGGTTCAGATGATTGAAAATGACTCCATTGACCAAAAAGTCGACCTTTTGCGAAACCAAGTTCAAGCGATTATAACTTCTTCATTATTCAATATTTTTGAGCGGTTCTTCTGGCGTATGACTTTCCTTAACGTCATCTCCATTTTCTCTTCACAAATCAAGAGCTGATTATGTGTGGAGGATCACCAAAGTTCGAATACTTTAGAGGTCGCTTCATAGACTTTGACCTAATCTTAAGTAACCATCGTCTGATTTCTAGGAAATGTGATTTCCTCAAATTACAAGATCTTGAGACGATTATTTCTGCATATGGTCATAAGTGATGTCGCTTACGAGTTTATCTTCAAAGATCGAAGGAAAATTCTGTTTGGAAGACTTTGAAAGTTATCGAATCATCGCAAGTCATTTGTTTGATTTCAAATGTTCTTAACCACAATTGTTTTCTCAGGACTATGACTCTCACGTTGAAGTTTGTTAATTTTACAAGATTGATGAATGTTCTTAAAGCATGTTTGTTTTGGCAATAAAGTTCCATTTTAATCGAGCATGGCGTGCGAGTTCATTTTGAATGCAAGTTTGATTTGGACATGATGTGAAGATTAAGGTTTTCATTTAAATGACCATGGTTTTGGGTTCGAGTTAACCAAGTGAAATTGAATTCTTAAATAGTTATTTTGTTTAGAAATTTGATTGGAGTACAAGGTGCATGGTTTACTTGAAATACAAGTTACAAAAGTCATTTGTGATTGCTTGAAATTCAAGTTACAAAATCAAGATGTATCATTCAAACCATTCAATTGAGAATTTCAAAGTCCTAACAAAATCCAAGAATTGTACAACAAATTTCATCACTCACAAATTTATTCAAGCTTTGTGTTAATTACATTACAAGTAAAATATAAATTACAATGCTTTTTTTACAAAAAGAAATCTTGTTTCTTCAAATCTTCTCTTGCTTCATCTTCAATAAATTCATCCACACCTCGCCATGGTTTTCTATTCACTTTACCTCGCTTGCCATCCACTCCTCGTGTTCATGAAACAAGAAAAGGGAAATTAGAAAGCAATCAATATATGAAAATTCAAGCAAGAATGATTTACAAAAAAGGAAAACTCATCATTAGGATTTGTATTTAGGAATCAGATTTAAAAGTTGTTTGTTTTTAATCATAATCCCCCTTCTCCTATTTTGAAAATCACAAGGTTTGGGCCTTGGTTCACAAAAAAGGAAAATAAAATTTACATAGCATAAAGCCCAAGGCTGTCCAATAAGCAACAAAACATTGCAACAAATAAAAACAGCACAGCAAGCTGCAGCAACAACAAAACAGGCTGCAATGCAGCAGAACCAAAACAACATAATAAAGCAGCAATGCTGCCAAATAGCAGGCAACAAACAGCAACAAAATGGGCAGCCTAAACAAAACAACAAAACAGCAGGCTAGCGCAGCAGCTAGACTGCCAAACAAGTGCAACAAGTAATGACAGAACAAGGCAGCAGCAACAGGTAAAAACAAATAAAATAGAAGCAATTAAAAAACAACATGCAAGCTAGCACTAGTTCACATAAAACATGCATCATCATTTTCCTTAAACTGCAAACCCTTCAGAAAATTGTATGAAAAACAAATGGCTTTATATTTCATTGAAAGATAAAAGAGGAAAGAGACAGGTTTGAAAGATATCACCTAGCTCACACAACATGTCAAAAGTTAGCCATGTTCCAATAGCCCAAGGTCTGTCCAAATCTGCCCAAAACTCAGTCAAAATTTACACCAAAATAGACATAACTTAACCTGTACTCTAAAGCCCAAGGTCAGCATACCACATATGTTCAAAACTTCACCAACTTTTCCCCTCACTTTTCACCCTTATCTCATTAAAAAAGATAACCATTGTTTCACTAAGGACAAGATACAAAACCAAGAGAGCAATAACCTACACAAAAAATCAGATATATACGAACAGAACCAAGGCCAGCATCCAACATCCATAAAAATGATTAAGGCAAGATATCATTAAAAAAACCATTTTTCTTATCATCATTTTCTTGATCCAAACCCTTCAGAAACAGAAAATTCTATTCAAAAATAGAAAATAAAAAGAGACAGAAAAAGAAACTTCCCTGTCAAAACCGTGAAGCCACTGTAACCGCAATCAACAACCTTACTCCAAAAATCTTCCCCAAAACTCTGTTGCACTTCTTCAAAACCCTCCCTATTAACATACCTGCAGACAATGATTTAACAGAAAACAAAAAAAATCAACCGCAACATTCATATATTCCCTCGAATTCGCTCACTCAGAAGCAAAGGAACAAATCACAACAACAACGATACTCGCCAAATT